TGACTAGAAAAAGGAAGATTTAAATGAGAGGTGACAGAGCTAAAAACAATTAAAAGTAAAAGAAAAATTATTTCAGAATGAAAAATACATGATTAATGGATTAAGAGGAAAAGAATGACTCTAAAATAAAAAAAAGATATAAACAGATAAAAGTTTTGAGAGAAAGTGAGAGAGAAGATTAAAAGAAGATCCAACATACAGAGGGTACGAAGGGTAAAACAAATACCCAAAACTAAATTCAAGAACAAATGTTCCAAAAACAAAAGATGATCCAAACTATGTATTTATTATGACTTTTCAACAGAGACACTTTATGGCCGAACACACGGAAAATCAATATATGCAAGGAAAGCAACCGTGAGCCTTGGGTTTCACTTCCATCCAAACTAACCTTCAGTAGGAAAGGCTGCGACAAACGACTATGAACAGGACCACAAAGTGCCTGGGGAATGCCGGGAACACTGCCTGAGCGTCCACGTGGCTGCAGAGCAGGGGCCGGCCAGCTTTCTCTGTGAAGGGCCACAGTCAGTATTTTCGGCTTTACTGTCCTGTGGTCCCTGCCACAACTGCTCAGTACTGATGCAGCAGAGTTCATGAAGGCAGGTGTGAGGACGTGGGGACAGGCAGGTATGAGGACGTGGGGACAGGCAGGTGTGAGGATGTGGGGACAGGCAGGCGTGAGGACATGGGGACACGGGGGCGGCCAGATACTGCGTGTGGCCTGTAGCTTGCTGAGCCCTGTGCTATAGAGTGAGCTTCAGAAAACCAAACAGCTAGAAAGGACTCACCCTCAGGACTGGTGCTTAGCACTAAATATGTGGTTACTCACAGAACTGATGGTTATCAGGTACCGCTCTAATGGCTAAATGCTCCATAGAACTGATGGTTATCAGAGTACCAGTACCACTCCTAACGGGCTAAATGCTCTGACTTGTAGATACAGCAAAGCTATTTTAAAAATGTAAGAAGAAAGGTGAGCATATGTGAAGAATGAAAAAGCTCACCTAAGGTCTTAAATGTGTTAACAAGAGTTAAGAGATCCTACTTTAAATTGGGGAGAGGGGTGGGGAGAGAAGTGCTACTTAACTGAAATGATGCTCACAGGAATGAACTCATCACAGGGATGAACTCATCACAGGAATGAACTCATCACAGGGATGAACTCATCACAGGAATGAACTCATCACAGGGATGAACTCATCACAGGGATGAACTCATCACAGGGATGAACTCATCACAGG